ATAAGGAAACGCCAAAGTTGAAGTCCAATCCGTCCACCAAGTCGGTGGCCGCGACAATATCGACCAAGAAGAAGATCAGGGCCGCTCGGACGAAGCTTAAGGCACCAGATACAGAATCGGAAGACGAGAGTAGGCCGAGATCGACCATTGCCAAAGACATGATCGAACAGGTTTACTATTGGAAGATTCTGAGCGAGACACTGCTACATGACCCTGTCCTCGCGATCATACAGGTCCGCCTGATTGGCGACCTGACAGGCCCGATATCCAAACCCAACACCAGCACAGATAGGCTGAACGCGGTGAAGATCCTGCTGGATCTGCCCCAGGAGGCCGGACTGGTAGCTGGGAATTCGACCCGGATTCCCTATTCGAGATGGAACTGGGTATGATCCAGTCGGCGACCCAGGATCTCTTCGACTCGCTGAAGATCTTGGTCGGCGAACACGTACAAACGACTGATCTGAACTACCAAACCGGGTCGTCACATCACGCTTCGGCTACCTCAGAACCAGATTCAGATTTTCCCCAAGGACCACAACGGATGTCGCTAGGTCGCTCGGGCACCAAGTACCTGAGAACACGTGCGAAAAGGCAGGATCAACGGCCGGCAGGACAGATTCAGACCCCTGAAATACTCGACCGGCAGCAAGAACGTCGGATCTCGGCAGGACTAACCACTCCGACGACCAATTCGACCGGAACTAGCAGCAAACTAGACGAATATTTCCAGATGGCGATGGACCGATTCTTGAAAGAACAGAGCCTGGTGACAACCCAACCACCATCCCTCGGGACACAAGATATCGATATGGAGTCAGTCGGTATCCCAGATCCTTACTCTTGGGAATACGATCCCGATGATCTCGGAATCACGAGCTCCTCCGGTCCTACTTCCGGCCGAGCAATCGCCACGGCAGCGATCGGCCTGGGAGGGTCATCGCTGATCCAAAGAGTTCGAATTTCGGCCATCTCAGATCAAAAGGAATTTACCGGGAAAGATATGGACGAAGACCGCGCCAGGGCTTGGCTCGACAAGGTAAAATCGACGTTCCAACGGGACCAGGCAACAGAAGAGAAGAAATGCCTCACGTTCGCAGATCTAATGGTAGGATCAACCAAGAACTGGCATCGACAGCTAAGTTGGACTACCAAGACCAAATGGGCGGACTTACTCGAAAGTTTCCAGACACAATATTGCGGTCTGGGTATGTCAGTGGCATGGCAATACTACTATGCACGTAAAAGATCCGAAGAGACCCCTCTCGATCACCTCTATCGGTTGAACGTGGCAAGCCTACGAGCTAAATTCAAGATCAAGAACGGGAACCCCAAAGCGCGTCGGGAACATGTGGACCATTAAATCGAGACGTTGGGCGATCCCGAGTTGGCCAACCGCCTAGCTCTACTAAGACTGGCCGACGTCGACGAACTCGAGGAAATGCCCCGTGCACGGGAACGGGCCAAGAGCAGGCAACGCAGATCCGCGTTTGGATCGAAATATCGACAGAAGGCCCCAGCCAGCGCTCCCGCGGCGCCAGATCGTGCCATGGTACGCGCGATCCAAGCGCAAGATCCGAGCTCCGAAGCGGAAGAAGTATCGGGTTCTGATGGATCTGACTCGGAAGGTGAACAGCGGAGGATCTTCCTCGCCGCGGCAGAAGAGAAGTTGATCGGCACTGGGGGCGCCTCACAACACCCAGATGCGGCACGGACCCGAGCGAGAGCGCCAGAAGGAAGCCGGATCCCCGAACGTCGCAACCCGGGTGATAGGGATCATCAAGAACGAGATCGTTGTTTGCATTGCGGGTCCAGGAAGCACACGGATCTAGACTGTTGGAAACGTCTGACTTGTGAGAAGTGTGGGAAGAGAGGTCGCCCAACGGATCGTTGTCTGTACGCGTGTCGTGGATGCGGGGACGTCCATGAGGCAGGGGAATGACCCATGGAAGGATTCTACAACCAGATACGCAAGTGGTATGATCCGACTCGACACGCAGGATTGTTCCCCGAACAAGTGGAGAAGATGTTAAACTAGGACGCTCGCCGGTGTGGAATCCTGGACGAGCCGAGCGTTCTAAGTACCGCATCTACGCCTACGTGATCAAGGCGACGACAGATTGAGGTAGGAAAGAGTCGGGTCCACGCGATAATACATGTAACTTGCATTCGTATGCCGCCAAGATCGCGAGCCTTCCTCGGATCGGCGAATTTAGTCGATCTGACGAGGAAGTGGCCTTAGATCTAAAACAAGGAGAGTCCCGGGGTATTGGTAACGTCATGCACCGGGAAAATGATTCCGACAAGCTAAGATCTCAGACAGGATCAACCAAAAGAGAGATCCTGCTCCTGGACACTGGCGCTGAGGTATCAATCTTGGATATCCCCTTTGCTCGTAAGGTGGGATGCCACTTTGACACTAGTCAGAGACAGGAATGCGTGGGAATCGGTGACAGCGTATATACCACAGAAGGGAGAAACAGGATCAAGATCACGTTAGCGTGTATTGTTTTGACATCTGGATTGAAGATCTATCAGGCCAGAACGCGATCCTAGGCATGGATTTATTGGTCCCAGCCGGTGTGCGGATGAACCTCGCCGACGGGTCGATGCGCCTACCTGACGAGGTTGGAATCCCGCTTAATGGTCATAAGAGACTGTATGGCGAGAAAGTGTGATCAGTAACTCTCGAAAGAAGTCTACGAATCCCGGTTGGACGGTCGGAAGAAACAGCAGCGAGGATAAAATTGTCAGTTATAGAGAAGCTGTGGGTGACCAGAGGAGAACGATGGGTACCGACAGTAACGGAAGGCCCCGGTCGTATCCGCTACCTGGAGATCTCGAATATTGGAGAAGAGATCCTACGGTTGGACCATTGTCTGGACGTCGGAGTGATACTGGATCAGGACAAAGTACCCCGATCCCCAGGGTTCATGTCCGTCGGGTTTTACCGCTACAGGGAGTGGCAGAATCTGGCATTGGAATCGACAGTAGATACTCGATCAAAGCCTCCATAATTTACGGAGGATCCTGCAGAACCCGCAGTACAACGACCAACGTATCCCACACCACGACCAATACTACGCCGGGCAGAAACCGCTGGCATCGACCGAGATCGCACGTTGATATCAGCCATCGAGACTCCATCGCGGGTGGAAACTGCTAACGCAGCCCAGATCGAGGAAGATTTCCCAATCCGGAAAAGGGTCATCCGCCTACACCACCGACAACCCCCAACGCCGATCGGTCCCGGAGCGGCGATGCTGGGGACGGCGGGATAAGTGAGAGCATGCCGGACCAGGCTCCCGATCGGACGGGCACAAAGGATATCGAGTCGGAAAAGGAAAATCCGAATTGTCAAACCGGAATCAAACTCAAACTCGGCGAAGACTTCGGCGTCAACACCCGGATCCACTCGACTGAGGGTGTCGAACTACGCGATCCATCAGCGGAAGGAGCAGCAGCGACCCCCCACAGGATATCGAGGACGATGACGAGATATACTACCACGAGAGTGGTGATCTCTCAGCTGAAGATCTCGAAGGCAATCTCGCTATGCTCCCTGAAATCCCAATCTCGACAACCGCGAAGGTCAGTATTGAAGATCTGCAGGTTGGAGATTCCGGATCAGCCACCCCCGAGGAGATCGAGAAACTCCGGCAGATCATTTGGAAGAAGAACACCTCTTGATCGGTAAGGGGAACGCCCTGCCACCGGCGACCAGGGGCGTCGTATCTGATATCGATGTCAGAAACGCGAAACCGATCGCGTTGCGATCCCGGAAAGTACCCACACGGTTTCGGGAACAGTTGCAGGCCTGATCAAGGGGCTCCTAGCAGCCGAGATCATCCGACCTTCGACGTCGCCATGAGCCTCACCAATAGTGATTGTCCACAAGAGTAACGGCGTGGATAATAGGCTATGCATCGACTACAAGCTGGTAAACAGCCTCACGAGGTCAATGGTCTATCCTATGTCTCTGATCAGCGACTTGCTAGAGGACCTCGACAAGACGTTGTGGTATTGCTCACTGGATATGGCCAGTGGCTTCTGGGTCGTGCCCATGATTGATCGGGCTCGTGAAATCTCAGCATTCATCACTCCGTTCGGCCTATTCGAGTGCGATCGCATGCCCTTCGGACTCAAAACTCCCCAGATATATCAGCGCTTCGTAGACAACTCGCTGTACGGGTTTCTAAAACTCCCGCGATCAGGTGACCCAGGAAATACAACGGATCTTTCCAGACAGGGATCGCTGACGATCCTGATCGCCACTCGGTGTTGGGACGAAGATCATATATCGACGACATCATGATCGTCGCGGAATCGTAGGGATAAAATGTGCCAAAGGGTGGAGGACCTGCTGGAAGCGTGTGATAAGTGGAATTTATCGATCGAAGGATCTGAAATCTCTGACCGATCTGCGATTCCCCGGATCGCTTCGATCCATGCAATCGTTTCTGGGGAGTCTAAACTACTACAACCGATTTATTGAGGACTACGTTATATACGCCTCGGTGCTATATGAGCTACACGAGGTGGAATTTGTAGAACTGGAGAAACGATCGGATCTGAGGAAGATCATGAACCAGAATGACCCGATGGTACGGGATAACGACCCGCCGGAACTCCAGCCTGCAAAACCATTAGATGAGAGGTGAATCAGGGCTCATAAGGCTTTCATCGCCCTGAAGACCAAGATCGCGACGACGCCAATTCTCCGCCACTTCGACGAGACGAGAACGCCGGCAGTGATTGTATATGCCAGTGATTGGGCGATTTCTGCTTCGTTGATGCAAGAACACGACGGGATCTACCATCATGTTACTTTTGCCAGTCGGACGCTAAAGACGAAAGAACTGAAATACAATGTGACGGAAAGGAAGTGTTGGCATGGTAGTATAGATCTTGGATCTATACTACAACTTTTTGGTGGGACGCGACATCAGGGTCCTGACGAGGCACTCCACGCTAGTCTTGCTGTTCAAGTCAACGGGATTACAAGGCCGCTTAGGGAAATGGTCAGCGCTCTTGGCGGCGTGGACTCTCGAGATCACAAGATATACAAAAGGAGAAGACGAGATAATGGGGGCGATCGCTGCCAGCATCACGCCGAGGTCAAAGATCGACGACGCCTTAACCGCTATCGCGCCGCGAAGGAACCTAAACGCCGGATCCAAACACCGATGCCCACTGTGGGCCGAGAGGAGGAATTATGAATGGTTAGCTTTTACGGATTGGCTCGAGTGAAGCGAGGCGTGGGCACGTTCAGCGCGATCGTATGGGGTCTGCCCGGATGGAAGGTGGTCAAAGCCAGGTCGGGCTATCTCGAGAAACTTACCGTGAATGAAGCAGAGTACAACGACCTTCTGTTGGGACTTGACATGCTAGGGGACCTAGATCGTATGCGTCTAGTGATCTGCGGAGATTCCAACCTAGTGATCCGGCAAGTACGGGGCGGGATCGATTGCAAGGCACCCAGGCTGGCGCTATTGAAGCGGAAGGCCCTCGATCGCCTGACAAAATGGAGCGATCATGAGCTAGTACATGTGAAGAGAGACTAGAATGGGAGTACCGACAGACAGTCTAGCGAGTGCCGCTTTGCAACAACAAGGCGGGATCGAGGCCCAAGGTAGTGTGATGAGGCAGTTTCCCAGTTTTCAGGATATCCTGGTTTTTGAGTGCGACAATGGAAATGCAGAGATCTTGATTGGTGGAGGTGGAGCAGACGGTGAGACAATTGTGGAAAGAAAGTCTGATGTGAATGGTGAGTGGGTGGAGAGCCAAGGATGGGCCCTTAGGTTCCGGAAGCACGCGTTTCAGTGATGTACACTCTGGAACGCACATGTGCTCGGTCCGGAACCGTCCCCGTCCTGAACACAGGTTGCCGAATAAGAAGCTTAAATTGTCTGCGTGAACGTATCGCTGCAGACAACCCGTATTGCCTTGGTTCAAGACGCCAAATACCACCACCCTAGACCCAGTAACTACTAGAAATGACCGCAACAACCTCATGCACCGCAAGCCCCCAAGAAAATCAAGAACTATATTGTGTGGATTATCCAGTGTCCAAGAATGCTGTATAAACATGTTATGACTACGATGGAATGCGAATGGAGTTAGAAACCAACGATTCCGATCCTCAATAGTCTGAAACGAGCCTCATCTCGGAGAATTCGGGCCTCGTTCCAGTCATCCCAAGCCTGGTTCCAGAGATTATCGATTACCAAGAGCAATACCAAGCTATCAAG